AACTCATATTTTAACCTCTTACGGTTATCTTTTCGAATGTAATGGGCCCCTGCGATATTCGGTAGGATATTTTCAATACAATTCATTATATTTTCTACAACATATTTTATATTTTTATGCCATTTACTCTGTAGGAAACAAAACTTTATAGATTTGTTGCCAATAAAGTATTGTATTATAAGGTTAGGAACTGATTTTCTAATCAATCAATGTCTTTTCTTTCAATATAAATATTCTTTTGCCCAGTTATAAATATAAAGCTCGCTGTAAATAAATAAATATATAACTATAATTAGTTAAGAAAAATTAACACCTAGTGTTTGTGTAACATGTAAATTAAATAATTTTTATTAAAATAAATAATAAAATTTTGCAAGAAATTTTTTATTTTTGTTGTACATATTGCATTTAATTTGATATTTTGATTGGTTTTTCTAATCGTTTTGTGTAACCAAGTGTTAATACACCTAGTGTCCAAATATTAATAAAAAATAATTTGTAATATATGAGCTTGAGTAAGGATTACTTTGTTAAAAATATATTTTAAACCTCTTTGACAATATTATTGGCCACATTGATAATTTTCCTTCGAGTTCACTGACTGCATCAATGTTAGTAAATAATCTACTGTATATTTGAATGAACTATTCTAAAACTTCAGGCTTTATATTACAATATACAGTACTGTACCATAAAAGATAACCGTAAAAATAAATAGTGAACACTACCATAATTTCTAATGCCAGTTCATTTTAAATTTCACTTTATAAATTATCATGAGACTTAGCAAAATAGTTTGAGAAATCAATAGAATACACTTCCAAGGCTTAATAAGTAAATTATAATTCTCAAAAAGTGGTTCGAATATTATCATTATGTGAGCTGTAATGCTATTACGTTATCCAAAGCATGTAACGACAATTTGGAATTGAGCAATAATCGATTACCCTAAAGACCATTGAGATATATTTTGCCATGAGGTTCATAACTAAATCTGAATATTAGAATGCACTAAATATTCTGTTAACATAATCTCTATATCAATAACAATTTAATACGTATAATTAAGTGTTAAGTCATATGCATAGTAGTGGTTCTATAAGTTTACCGAGGTTTCTTCGATATTATGGGAAAAATTAGTGAAAGACAAGCCTAGTTATATTTTTATTTAATTACTGGGTTAGCATATATGTTTATTTAAATAAACTTGTCTAACGCTAAGAGAAAATCGATCTTATCCAGTTATAACCTGGATTAATTAATCCACTAAACTGAATGATCTACGATGAACTTTATTAGACATCTATCGTTATGGATAAAGTAATTCGAAGGCAACAAATTCTTTCACTCTACAGAAACATTCTTAAAGAATCGTCAAAGTTTTTTGATGATAATGCGAAGTATGTGTTATTTGTTGTAAAAAAAGGATTTTAATTTTATACGCACTGTTTAATGGTTCGTTAGAATATTTTTAAAAAATCGAACACGAAAGAGATTTAAAGAGTATAAGGACGAAACTGACGAAACCAGAATTGTAAACAAATTAGCTGATGCCCATCAGGTTAAATTATTTCTGTTAAGCTTGTTAAAAGAACTTTTTTTTTCATTTCTGTCGTTTAAATGTAGCTCTACCCTGAAATTTTTTCTTAATTTTTCAGGCACTAAACAGGCTTAAGAGAGCCAATGTATTTGATGTCAAATCAGTTACTCGCATTTTGGAATTGACATATGGAAGGAGGGGACCTATGAGACATCAACTGCTTAAGGTTTGAGATTTATATTTTATGCAGTATTATTGAAAAAATTTTATTATTTACACGTCAACAATGGGTCCCAATCATTTCCGACATTTATTTCCCCGAATTAATTATTCCTTGACAATTGCTTTTCCTTACAACTATTTTCATAATTCCTGGAACACCTGATAAAAATTGGCCAAATGATTTTTCAGCCGATTCGATTAAGTTTGCAATTTCGGCATGATCCATATCATAATGACTGTTTTACAGACCGTT